TATAGAATTACCCAGTTTCAGGAGGCAGGAGAATAGATGTCAACTAGAGCCAACCTGGCCTACATTGAGAGTTCGAGACCAGCCTGAAACCCAAACAGAGCAAAACTCTGTCTTGGAAAAAAATAATCATTAAGTTATTTAATTTTTTTTAAAAGATTTTATTTTATGGTTTTGAGTGTTTTGTGGGCATGTGTATATGTATATGCACCATTGTGTTTAATGCCCCAGGAGGTTGTTGAATCCCCTGGAACTGGAGTCATGGATGGTCATAAGCCCCTATGTATGCTGGAAACCAAACCTTGGTGTGCAAGTGTCCTTAACCACAGAGCAATCTCTCCAGCCCCCACTCCGTATAAATTTATTATCTCACAGTTTTGGAGCCTGGCGATCCAGAATCCAGGTCTTGGCAAAGCTGGCTCCCAGGAGGCCCTGAGAAGGATCTGCCCCAGGCTCCTAACTTCCCACAGCTGCTGTGCTTCCGCAGTACAGCTCCGTTCTCCGCTTGACGTCTCCCGGTGGGCGTGTCTGCGCCCGGATTACGCCCTCATCAATGGACATCGGTTGTACTGGAATGAGAGTTTTCGCTACTGAACCCCGTTGGAAGTAATCCCATATTTAATGACCCAATCTGAAGTACTAGTGGTTGGGGCTTCAACGTATGGTGTGGGACACGATTCGTGGCAGTTGTGAGTGGCGATGCTCCTCGAGAGGCAGCCGACACGGGCAGCTAGCTGCCTGAGGGACGTGAGCTCTGTGGTCCAGCTGGTCTTGTGAATGAGGGTTAGGGAAGACACGAGCTTGGGAAGTGGTGATGGAGAACAAATGAGTTTGCATGCAACCTTCTCAGATAGGGATAGCAGCTACTGTTGAGAGCCAGCTGAGTAGCTGGCTACTGTGTTCCGGGATTTGCGCATGCTCTATCACATCAGCGATAGGCTTTGACTACACTACATAACATTCCCAGTCTGTGAGTGAGGAAACGAAGCCTTGTGACTGCCCAAAAAATACAGCAAGAAAGTAGCAAAAGACCAGTAAGAGAACTCAGCAGGTAAAGGTGCCTGCCACCAAGGCTGATGACCTAAATTCAATCCCAGGAACACACATGATGGAAGGAGAGCCACTTCCTGCAAGTTGTCTTCTGCCTTCCACAGTGTGTACTATGGCTCATACATGCACTCAGGTACACATAAATAAATGTAACAAAAACGAAGAAAGTCAGACAGTGGTGTCACATATATTTAATCCCAGCACTCTGGAGGCAGAGGCAAGCCGATCACTGTGAGTTTGAGGCCAGCCTGGTCTACCAAGTAAAACCCTGTCTCAAAAGAAAAGAAGCAAAGCCAAGATCTCAGAACCCCAAGGCCTCTCCCTGAGCCTCCTTTCTGAATCTGTTTCTCTACCTCTAAAATGAGGCTGAAACAGAAATCACGGAGATTGAATGGGACACTCTTCCACCTGCCACACGGCAGGAGCAGGCCAAAGTTTGGGATTTGCCTCCTTCACCTGATGTTCATTTGTGGCCCTTCTCAGAGTAAAGGAAGCAGCACGCTCCCTACTCTGAACCGGGTTGCTTCATTGTAACATGTACAGAAGGCTGGACACAAGCCAGCCCTTTGGCTACTGTCTCTCAAATAGTTTTCCAGAGATTGGAAAAGCCCTTCTGCTCCCCAGCACAGAGGAAAGGTAAAGATAAAGGAAAGGAAAGATAAAGAAGCATCCATTAAAATGGAATGGTGGAATCAAGCCTGGAGGCACAGGCTTTATTCCTGCTCTCTAGGTGGCTGAGACAGGAGGGTCACAACTTCAATGCCTGCTTGGGCTACAGAGGAAGTAAATTAAAATAAAAAAAAGTGTGGGAGGTGGAGGCAAGGATGTGGCTCCATTCCATAGTAGGACAGTTGTCCAGCATGTGTGAGGCCCTAGGTTCAACCTCTAGCACCACAGGGAAGAAAGGGGGGAAAGGAACGTAAGAATATTCTGAGATAGATAGGTAGATAGGTGGATGGATGGATGGAAGGAAAATAGGCGTGTAAATGGATGGAAATTGGCTTTGGGTAGATGGAAGGTTGGATGGACAAGTGAACCATAAGAGTAGGTTGAAGAAAAGACAAACTTATGTATGTATGGGTGAGTTTGAAAGGACAGATACAGAGAAATAAAACTGACAGGAAACTAGATGGATGGACAAGGGGGTATACATCTAATCATACACGCGCACATGTGCGCGCACACACACACACACACACACACACACACACACACGATGGCTGATGAGCTAGAAGGGGGAATATGATGCAATATGATGAAGAAAGTGGAATAAAAAACGGTGTGGAAGAACGGTGCCTGGTGAGTAGACAGGACAGGGCAGGCTCGCAGTTCCTTTTCTCTACCAGAAACGCAGCCCTGGCACCACTTGCTCACTCTCAGGTGAGTGGAGCTGCAGGACAGCTGGGGCGGAGGCAGAGGGCGGGGCCGTCCCAGGACCAGCCCAATTCGAGCTGCGGTCCCGCTGGCGGTGCTGGCTTTGGCGCCGAGACCTAAGAGGCTCAGGAAGCACGCAGCGCTGTGGGAGCCCGAGCCAGGTGAGTGCGGAGTGGAGTGTGGTGGCTGGGGAAGGAGGGCAAAGACTACCGGGATGGGGACCCGCCCCATCCATTAGCTGTGTGGGACGTGCTCAGTCCGCCACCAGGAGGCTCGGTCCCTGCCACTCCCAAACCCTTTCATCAAACCCAGCGTTGGTGTCTCCATGGACCTGGATTAAGGACTGAGACTTTTAACTATCTTCATTTTTGTTAGTTTTTAATATTCCTACTACTATGACAATGACAACTACTACTACTATTCCTATTCCTATTCCTATTACTATTACTATTACTATTACTATTACTGTGTGGTGTGTGTGTGTGTGTGGTATGGAGGGGTGTGCATGTGTGTGGTATATGTGGGGGGGGGCGTGCGTGTGGTGTGGAGGGGTGGGAGGGTATGCATGTGTGTGTGTGTATGTGTGTGTGTGTGTGGTGGAGTGTGTGCATGTGGGGGTGTGATGTGTATTTTCACGTGTGTGTGTGTGTGTGTGTGTGTGTGTGTGTGTGATGGAGGCACACTTGCCATGAGGCATGTGTGGAGGTCAGAGAACAACTGGTCAATTCTTTCTATTCTCCTCATGAATCAGACTCACATAGTCAAGCTTGCAGAGATGAGCCATCTGGTTGGCCATGTTACATTTTTTGAGACATATCCAATGCTGGCCTCGAACTCATAGTGATCGTCCTGTGTAGGTCTTTGAAGTTCTGATGTTATTCTGTGCATCAGCACAGCCAACCTTTAATTATAATTTGTTCTCATTCCTCTGATATTTTCTGGGCCTCAGTTTCCACTTCTGAGTAATGGGAAGAGTAGTTATGCTTCCTGAGATTGCCAGGAGAGTTTAACACTGCCTTATCCAGGTTCAGTCCTGACTTAGCCATAATGGTCCCCTGAGGAGCAGGCCCCTGTTTATTCTCCTAGCAGTTAGCCAGGCAGTGTTCCAGGCACGGGAAATGCCAGTCAGCAAACCCTCCATGCAGCCTGCATTGAGGTGTTCTGCAAAGACTTTGATATCTGCTCTCTCCGGACCCCTGTGTAAGGACTTTGGGGCAGCCAAGATGATCTGGACCCATTTCACAGCTGTGTGTACTGAGGTGCTGTGAAGTTCTCAGCATTTCACTCAAGGGCACACCCAGCCCTTGCCACCATAAACACCCAGATACCTTTCCCAGAAGAGTCATTTCCTCTGAAACTGCATCCTGTCTCCTGATTGGTGACTGGTGGGGTAGGGGAAGTAGATATCCTCCATAACAACTCTAGTTTAGATGTCCCTCACCACCACTTATGTGGGACATGACGGCATTCCTGTCCCAAAATGAACAATAATAATGAGAGAAGACATAGTCATTTCTTATGACTGCCAGGGTCCCTGTCCTATGATCATCAGGAGCAACAGCTCATTGGCCAAAATCGCCTGCTCTTTTGTGCAGCCGTTATGCACCATGCAGGGCATAGCCTGGGACACAGAAGGCCTGCAGTACAGTCGCTGCATCTACACAGTGGTCCAGCCTGATGCTCAGGTAGACGAGGGTAGGAAAGACCACGACCGTGGACTGAGCCCGAGCGAGCAATAGGTCTAGAATGGTCCCTGGGGCCCACCCACCTGACCCAGAAGGCTGCAGGGGATGGGCAGATCATGTGGTGTCAGCCAGCTGCTCCTGGGGCACCTGGTATCAGGAGTGGCTTTAACTTGGAGATCACAGCCAAGTTTCCAGGTGCTGAGCCCTTTAAGGCCCACGTGGTTCCTTCTCTCTCTCCTCCTCCTCTTCACCCTTCTCCTTGTCCTCTCCTTCCTCATCCTTCTGCTCCTTCTCCCTTCTTCCCTTCCCCTCTTTCCTTCTCCTCTTCCTTTCCTTCCTCCTCTCCTTCCTCCTCCTTTCCCTCTTCCCCCTCTCCTCCTCCTCCTTTCCCTCTCTCTCTCCCCTTCTCTCTCCCCTTCTCCCTTCTTCCTCTCATCTTCCTCTCTGTCCTCTTACTTTTCTCTCCCTTCTAATCCTTTCTCCTCTCTCCCCCTCTTCTTCCTCCAACTTTTCCTCCCCTCCTCCTCCTCCTCCTTGCCCTCCTGATTCCTGGTCAGATAACACCACACCCAGTATGTGAGGCCCCCCTAGGCATGACTGACTCTGCCTTCCTCTGGTACTACATGGAGCCTGTGGGGAAATCAGGGGTGCTTAGTGTACATCTGAGTCATACAACATGATTTTGAGCCTCAGTTTCCCCAGCTATGACGTCAAAGGACAGGGTGCCTTCTCCAGCTCTCTAAGAAACCAGCAGTCACATGGAGGTTCTTGGGGCTCTGAAAGAGTCTGGGGCTCAGAGAGATCTATGAGGCTCCAGTCTTCCTGAAGTTTCACTTTGCCTTGGGATGACCTAGAACATTCTTCTGGTTTTTTTTTTTCACAGGTGGACAATCTCTAGGCTGCATGGCTTCATAGAGGATGAAGACCAACCCTGCCAGCTCCTCACTAGAAACCTGTCGAGTTGCAGGACAGGAAGAGAAAGGCTGCCCTGTCTGTCAGGCCTGTGGAGGGGCCTCAGGCCTGGGGTCTGCTTTGGGGTCAGGGTCAGGTTTTAGACCTGGTCCTGAGACTGTTCCAGGGTCTGGGCCAGGATCTAAAGCTGTTTCTGTGACTGGTGCTACTTCAGGGCCTACTCTGGGACCCACACTAGGAGCAGGATCATTACCTGGACTGGGAGCTAGGTCTGGACCCAGGCAAGGAGCTGAGACAGTACCTGGATCAGTACCTCAGCCAGGAACTGGGTCAGTACCTCAGTCAGGAGCTGGGTCAGTACCTCAGTCAGGAGTTGGGTCAGTACCTGAGCTAGTAAGTGTGTCGGTACCTAGACCAGGAGCTGTACCATTACCTGGGCTGAGGCTAGAGCCTGGGACCAGACGAGGTTCTGGGACTGGTTCTAACCCCAGTGAATCAGTGGCAACCCCAGAACCAGCGCTGCAGCAGAAGACTGGGGCCAAATCCACACAGGCCCCCAGACAGAAGGTTCTGGTGACCGGAGGAGGAGGCTACTTGGGGTTCAGCCTGGGCTCCAGCCTGGCCAAGAGAGGCACTTCTGTCGTCTTGCTTGACCTTCGCAGACCCCAGTGGCCGCTACCCCCAGGAACCGAGTTTGTCCAGGTACAGAGCTGGGAATCATGGAGGGGACTGCTGCTGAAGGTCAGTGTGGCGGTGACGGTGGTGGTGGCAGAGCTCAGATGGACAAATACGGTATGGACAGGAAGTGGAGTTTGAGATCTCGGGCTCTGGAGCCAGATTTAGCCCTCATTGTTTATTATTTTTAGAGAAACAAGTGTCCTAAAACTCACTCTATAGACCAGGCAGGCCTTGAACTCACAGTGTTCCTCCTGCCTCTGCCTCCCGAGTGCTGAGATTAGAGGCATGCGCTACCACCACCTGGCTTTATTTTTAGATTTTGTTATCAATGCTTGTGCGCATGTGTGTGTATTTGTGTGATGTGAGTTTGTAGGGGATAAGTGTGTGATGTGTTTGTGTTTGTTTGTGATGTGCATGCATGTGTTATATATGTGTGTGATTTGTTTGTTTATATGAATGGTGTATGCAATGTATGTGTGAGCATATGTGTGGTGTGTGCGATGTGTGTGTGTGTGTGTGTGTGTGTGCGCACGTGGTGTGTGTGAGAGTGCAGTAGTCATACATTTGCCAGAGGAAACCTTTCTGGAGTCGATTCCCTCCCTCCACCATGGTGAGGCAGGCCTCTCTTGTTTCCGCTTCCATTGCACACACTCCGGCCGGGCTAGCCTAGAACTTCCATTGCGCACACTCCGCCTGGCTGGCCTAGAGCTTCCATTGCGCACACTCCGCCTGGCTAGACTAGAGCTTCCATTGCGCACACTCCGGCCGGGCTAGCCTAGAGCTTCCAGGCACTTTTCTTGTCTCCAGCTCCCATCTCACCATAGGAGGGCTAGGATTGCAGATGCAAGCCACTTCATCCAGCTTCCTGTGAATCCCAGGAGTCAAACTCGGGTCTTCCCGTTTGCTGGAAAGCGTTCGCTCTCTCCTAGCCTCTTTGCCGTCCTCAACTCCAGCTCTTATACTTCAAGGCTGTAGTCACACCCCCGTGAGCCCCAGTCTTTACCCACAGAAGAGACAGCAATCACGTGTATTTTACAAGGAGCTCAAAAGGGAGTCGGTAAGATAGTGCATATGAAACCCAGGCCAGCCCTGGACCCAGAACAGAAGGAATAGGGGCCGATGCTCTGTGGGGTTGGTAAAGGCTGGTCCTCCAGGTGCTTGGCCTGGGTCACTGCCTTGTACCTGAACCTCTTCCTTCTGTTTCAGGCTGATGTCCGAGATGAAGAAGCCCTGTACCAAGCCTTCCAGGGGGTGGACTGTGTTTTTCACGTGGCCTCCTACGGCATGTCTGGGACTGAGAAGGTGAGACTCCCACACACGTACAGAGCTGGGCACAGTAGTGTTCAAGTCCTGCCCCAGCCACCACCCTCTGAGACCCAAGTATTTATTCCTGATTGTTCTTCACCTCTCCAAAGAAGCACTAGGAATCCATGGCCTCAAACACCAGTTCTGGTACCTCCCACCTGGGTGACCCAGGGCAGGTCACCTCTCAGAGTTGTTCCTTCCTCTGGAAAGGAAGAACATCACTGCAATTTAGGTTACAAACTCTTTAGGGAACACTGTAGCGGTGTCTACAAAAATGCCTTCCGCTTGACTCAAATTATACTTATTTATATTCTCATCACATCGCTTTTAATAATAAAGCACCAGCAATAATGCAGTGGTTCATTAGTTATGTATAGCAGGTATATCATGAAACTCTGCAGCCTTTCAAAAGACTGAAAAGACTCAGAAGTGTTGATAACCTGGCGGTCTCCAAAGCTCAAAATAGCGCTTGGGATCCCCTATTTACCTTTAAAAAGTAGAGAAAAGAAAAGTTAAGATAACTCAACCAACTGTCTTTAATCCCAGCACTCAGGATGCAGAAGCAGGAATATCTCTGTGAGTTTGAGGCCAGCCTGGTCTCAATAACAAATTCTAAGTAACAAATAACAAATTCTAGGACAGTCAGGGCTACATATAGAGACTCTCATCTCAGAAAAAAAAAAAAAAGAAAGAAAGAAAGAAAAAAAAGAAAAGAAAAGTACCCATTCTGCCAAGCTTGGTGACCTCAGTTTGACCCCCAGGACCCATATGGTGGAAAGAAAGAATTGACTCCCACAAGCTCTAACTTCCACCTGTGTACCATGGTCCACACACACGCATGTGCAAAACAAATGAAAACGTGCTAAAAATTTTAAAGTTAGGCCAAATGTTTATTAAATGCACATGGGCATATGATGATGTTAAATACAGGTTCTCTGTACAAACATCCAGAGCCATTAACAGCAGCTCCCTCTGGAGAGGGCAGAGGAAGCCTTGGAATCAGGAATATGAAGAAACTTTCCTCTTCATTAGATAGATTTTTTTTTAAGTTTTATGTGTATGAGCGTTTTGCCTGCATGTATGTGTGTGCATCACATGTGTGCCTGGTGCTTGAGGGAGTAAAAAGAGGACATCACATCCCTTGGATCTGTGAGCTGCCGTGTGGGTGCTTGGACCAGAATCCAGAACTCTGGGAGAGTAGCCAGTTCTCTTGACCACTGGGCCATCTCTGCAGCTCCTGGGCATACTTTTTACTTTGAATCATTTCTAACCTTGTAGCTGTTTCCCCATTAAACGAAAAACACCCTGATAAGAATAAACATAGTTTCGGCTGGGCAGATGGCTCAGTGGGTCGAATGCTTGCTCAGCAAGCACCCTGTCTTGGATCCCCAGTACCAACAAACCAGACATGGTGACCCAGACCTATAATCCCTGCACTTGGGAGCTGGAAGCAAGAGGATCAGAAAGTTCAAGGTTATCCTTGTCTATATAGCTTGTTTAAGGCCAGCCTGGGTGATGTGAGATACACTGTCTCAAAGAAAAATAAATAAATGCAGTTTGAAAATACAGCCCTTCACATTTCCCAGTGATGTTGAGTGAGGTCTGGATCTTACTCTTTGCTGGGTGAGTGGCATGCAAGAATCTACAATTGCAGACCAGTTCTTTGTTTACGTTCCACTGCTTTTTCAGGGGCATGGCCCTGTCACCACATCTGTCTCAGCTAAGGACAGATTTGGGGAGGCAGAAAATGAGCCAACGTGTTTGAAATCACTTATCTGTGCCAAACTCTATACCAGCCCCGGCAGCCTACACCCTTGCCACCTTCAGCAAGAATCCTGCTGATCCTGAGGCCACAGGACAGAAGGCAACACGTGACTTCCCATTTCCCTCTTGTCTCTTAGCTACAGAAACAGCAGATTGAGTCTATAAATGTCGGAGGCACCAGACTAGTGATTAATGGTAGGCCCCTCAGAGTGGAGTGTGACCTGCAGTGTGATTCCTCCTCTTCTTTCTCCTGCCACTGGCCTGGGAGTGGGAGCTGGAGGTGGGAGCAACAGAGGCAGGACCCCTCTGCCCTACCTAGACTGTACCAACCGAGGCCAGTGGGAGGCAGAGCCTCTTCTCAGGGCCCTGTAGGGGCATCAGCTGTCTCAGCATGTCTGGGGACTCGGGACTAGGGGCTGAGGAAGGTCACTGAACCATCAGATAGAAGATTCCTGTTGGGCCCTCTGGGTGTACCAGCTTCTCCAGTTCTAGACCATCTTTTCTCTCTGTTCCAACAACTGAGCCTTCTCTTCTTACCTGCCCCTGACGGTGTGGCTAGGGGGCCAAAGCCTTGGCCCCCACATCCCAAGTTGAGGATGGAGGCTTTTCCCCTTCCAGGCAGCTCTGGATTCTGGGAGATCCCTAACGGTGTGGGGAGGGGCCTTAAAGCTGAGTAGAAATGGGTGGATTTGCCCACAGAGGCCTTTTCCGAGCCCATCCTTAACCAGCCCCTTGCCACAGTCTGACTATGGTGTATGTGTGTCTCCTGCAGTCTGTGTCCGTCGGCGGGTTCCAAGGCTCGTGTACACCAGCACAGTCAACGTGACATTTGGTGGGAAGCCCATAGAGCAGGGCAATGAGGACTCTGTCCCATACTTCCCCCTGGACAAGGTACCAATTTCTGGGAGAGACGGGGCAGGGTGGCAGGCTTGGGAGTGACTGCCCAAAAGGAAGGTATGGATAGAGCCAGATCCGTCTTATAACTCAGGGTGTATCCCAGTAGGATGGACTCCTAAACTGAGTGGTGCAAACTGTCTCCTATTCCCGCTTGCCTTGCCCTTGGAGGCTTTGAAATTAGATAGGCCTGACCTTGAGCCCCACCCAGCCTGGCACCTTTCACCTCTGTGACGGTGTGAGCTGTCATACACTCTGAACCTCTGTTTCTTCGTCTAAGCCTGGTAACACCATGGAGGGAGTTTGTAGAGAGCAGGAAATGAGATTGCATGCAAAGATGTCACAGGAACATTGAAGGATGACCTACGACCATTTCATCCAACCTATATGTGATATCAGTGTCGCGGGGCAGATGTCACAGACTGGCAGGTACCCTGCCCCGAGTCAGGACTATGCAGCCATGGGGTAGACCAAGCCCAGATGGACCAGCACTGCCAACAACATTATCGAGCTCATTTGGTGACTGTGTTCTTCTTGTCCCCTGTCAGCACATGGACCACTACTCTCGAACCAAAGCCATTGCTGACCAGTTGACTCTCATGGCCAATGGGACACCTCTCCTAGGTGAGTACCGTGGGACCTCCTTGTAACAAAAATGCCTGGCCACTGCCGCCTCTCTGCATTGTGTGTCTGAGTCATCTCCATACGGCCTGGGTCTTTGTTCTTCAGTGTATTCTGAGCACCAGCGTATGTCTCCCCGACCCAGGACACAGCCTGGATAGTCAGAATCCTGCTTGCAGTCTGGTGAGGAAAAGATTTGGACAGCCTGACACTTGCTCTCTTTGCTGTCTTATGGGAATGGATTTAGTTTTGGTAGTCTTCTTTAGCATTAGGAATATGTACGGAGCTATAGGTCTTCGGAAGGGACCATGCAAGTGAGAGATTTCTGTACTCAATCTTCAGTACCTTCACAGAAAACCCTACCTCAGCTGCCTCCCTGCATCCTCTCCTCTGGCTTACAGAGAACAATATTGAAATAGGAACTGTCCACATGTATGTGTATTCTTCATGCCAGGCCTTGTTTTGCATGCTAACTTCATATGCAAAGGTTCATTTGCTCCATATTATTCCTGAATGGAGTGTGGGTTTTAGGTGTCCCTGGTCTTCCACCCATTCAGACAATTTGCTTGCCAGACATCATGGTTACTGTCTTTCTAAAATGTAGACGCTAAAAGAAATCAGCCAACATGACTTCCCTTTATGGTCAAAATTATCTATCTAGGCCAGGTGTGGTGGCACCATGTCCTAGCATTGGGGAGGCAGAGGCAGGCAGATCTTAAGTACAAGGCCAGCTTTGTCTACATAGTGAGTTCCAGGCCAGCCAGGACCACATAGATAGACCCTGCCGAGAGAGAGAGAGAGAGAGAGAGAGAGAGAGAGAGAGAGAGATCTCAGCAGCCAGGACTACATCGAGAGACCTGTCTCCAAAAAGAAAGAAGGAAGGAAGGAAGGAAAAAGAAATGAAAAAAGAAAGGAAGAGAGGGAGAAATTTATCTGCCTGGGTCTGGTAGCAAAGTCCCTACATACTAGCTACTCAGGAGGTTGAGGTAGGAAGATTACAAATTTAAGGCTTGCCTTGGCTACAGAGTGAGTTCAAGGCCAGCCTGAGCTATATAGCAAGACCCTGCCTTGAAAGGAAAAAAAAAGCAAAAATAAATAAATAAATGAGTGAGTGATTTATAAAATAAATAAAAATAAAATAAAAAGATTTTTTATTTATAATAAAAGGATGTAGCTCAGAGGTACAGAGCCCCATGTTCAGCCCTTCTAGTAACACTGAAGAAGACAAGCAAACGTGGGAACCAATGGGATCTGGAGAACGAGAGAGACTTGAAACTGCAGTCTTCAGTTTACACATAAGGAAACAGAGGCGGGGAGCTGGCTTTGCTCAAAGTCACACAGCGCGGGCTGGAGAGATGGCTCAGTGGTTAAGAGCACTGCTTGTTCTTCCAAAAGTCCTGAGTTCAATTCCCTGGTGCCCTCTTCTGGCCTGCAGACATACACACAGACAGAATATTGTATAAAATATTTAAAAAAAAAAAAAAAAAAGTCACACAGCGAGTTGGACGTCAAAGCCAGGGGAGTCTTAGCCCCGGAATCTAGGCCTTCCCCACGGTGCTACTCCAGAGGCAGCCAACCAGGTCCTTATCTGAGGACTCATGTCCCTACAGTACCCCTGCTCTTCACTGTCAGCCCTTGACCCCTGGCCCTGGTGGGCACAGCCGCTGTGTTCCCCCAGGGTTTGATCTGATGCAGGTGAATTCCCTTCTCTGCCAGGGCATAGCCCTCTTCACCTACCGCCAGGCCAGACACCCAATCCTCCGGCTGGGGATTATTTATATGCACACCCCCAGCTTTCAACGCTCCAAAGAGTCATGGATACCTTAGGCCTGCCCGTCTCTGACGTGGCTACCCAGTGTCCCACTCACCATCGACTGCAACTTGACCTCCCTCCGCCATGCCCCTAGGGACCTAGGGTTTAAACTTAGCTATAGGCTACAGAGAAGCTCAGCTGACACCTGCCTTCCAGGAGGCTGACCATGGTCACCAGGGATGATTACGGTAGCCTGAGATCCAGGCTAGTCTGAGACAGCCCTCACTTGAGCTGGGCGCCAGAGTCCTAATATGTAGATCACAGTGCCTTGTCAGGTGCTGCGTCCTCTTACGCCTGCTTGTGTTAGTGTCCTGCAACTCCGTAGTGGTTTAGAACAGTCTCTTACCATCTAAAAGCCAGAGCCTGGGATCCTGGTGTTAACTGGTATAAGCAGGTAGAACTCTCTCAGAAGGTTCTGAAGAAGGGGCCCTCTGTCTCCTCCAGCCTCAGGTGGCCCCAGGTGACCCTTGGCTCGTGACTGTAAAACTCCAGCCCTTGCTTCCACCTTCATGTGGCTCCTTTCTCCGGGGTTGGTCTCTCTCAGACACTTGTAATTGGATTAGACCCAGCTGAAAATCTCTGATGACGTCAGCTCACCAATATCCCTAATTACAAGCTTGAAAGCCCTTTTCCAAGCAGCCACATTGGCAGATTCTAGAATGTAGATGTGACTTTTGGGGACCACCCTATTATCTGTGACTCTGGACTCCATTGTAATGGGAGGGGTGTTTGGCAAAGATGGAAACCTCTGGGCCTGGCTTATTCATGGGGAAAGGGAACATACAGTGGAGGTGCCTGGAAGACAGGTTTGCAGAAAAACAGCCAACTGGTTTGGAAAACGCTGGCCCTGAATAGTTCAAGGGCCCTGGCTGGCAGGAGCTTGTGGTCAGTACCTTCAGTGTTTGTGGTCCTAATTCTGATAATGCTGAGAGTCACTTCCAGGTGAGAACATCTAAGGACACCACGTATAAACCACCTCTGCAGGGGAAGGGGGATCCCCAAAGAAATTGGGTTGCTAGCAGCACAGAGTATCTATACTGGAACTTCCTTGCCAGATAAGGAGCAGGAGGTGTGGTTGACCTTGAGCTCCCATCCCCGAGTGCTGTGGGCTCCCGAGCTCCATGTGCCACTCTACTGCAGGCCCCCCCCCCCGGCCCCCCTTTCTTGTGTCCTAGGAGGAGGCACCCTGCGCACCTGTGTGCTCCGCCCCCCAGGGATCTATGGCCCTGAAGAACAGAGACACCTACCCCGGGTTGCGGTAAGTCCTCCCAGCCTTCCTAGGACCAGAGGCAGAAGGAGTCAGGTTGATGTGTTGTGCATGCTGATTGGACCATGGCCTCTGTCTAGGGGCAGTGTCTGGGCCAGAGACTCTCTATGCTGGAAGGCCACCCGGACACCTACCAGTTCATCGTCCTCAGACCTATGAGGGTCAAAGCTCTCAGTGTGCCATCCAGGCCTCTGTTCAAGTCAGGGAGAAAGAGAGCTATGACCCCAGAGAGACCCCAAGGTACCCCAAGGCAGCAGTTTATCCCAGGCTGCCAGTGAAGGTTCTTCACGCCAGAAAACTGTAGAAAAATCTGGGTACTGAGAAATCCAGCTGCTCTAGGTCCCAGTGTCCTCACAGCCTGGTCAGGGGGACAGACCACTGAGTAGAGAGAAAGACGCAAGAGAAAATGGGCCTGGCAGGGAAGACCCCGGGAGGACTTCCTGGAGGGAGGGATGCCTGGAGTGTCTGGAAGGAGGAAAAGGGATTTTCTGATGAGCCGTGATGACTAGAGAAAACCAATGCCAAGTGAATGAGCCACTTGAGATGGACCTAGATGTGAGCAAGGTCACGGCTAGCGCAGCAAGAGATCCAAGCTGGAACTATGGACAGTGCAAGGCCATGAGCACCGCCGGAGGTCATCTGGGGAGAGCCGCTTCAGATATCCCTTTGTCGCCTTCTTACCTGATACTGGTAAACTACAGTGGCTCTCCCCCCCCCTTAAATACTTAATTGAACTACTACTGTGTGCTTAGTACTGTTCAGAGCAGCAAACAAAACAGACAGTCCCTGCTTTTGTGTGGCCTCTGTTCTCATGCCAGGAACGAAATTAAAACGGATTCATGTGCTGAATTATAAAAAGGGTTGGAAGGTGCCAGGCACAAAAGGAGAAAAGAAAAGGTGGGTGGGATAAGGGTCTTGGGCTCCCAGGGAAGTTGGGTAAATCCCTTGGAGAAGGCTGGGTTTTAAGCCTCTAGAGGGGGAAGGAGCCAAGCATGTCAAGCAGGCTTTTGGAGGAAGAGCCGCCAGACAGGGGGCAACTCTCCAAAAATCCCAAGATTGCCCAGGAGTGCCCAGACAGCCCTGGGGTCATGGCAGCACAAGCCGGAGAGGAGGTCAGTAGGAGGGGAAGCTGCGGAGTAGCTGGGCCAGGTCTAGAAGGGCTGTGGGGCAGGCAGTGCCAACATTTCTGTGTTCATCATCACAGCCCATGTGACTCTGTAGTCATCAGGGCCAGGTGGCTGGGTAGATGGACGGTTAAGAAGCTGCTGTGGTCTCTAAGGTGAGAGAGGGGCCGGTGGCACTGGGGGAGAAAAGCGGTCGAATTCTGAAGAGATGTGATAGTCGGGGCAACTGGGTTTGCAAGTGTTTTGAAGGAGAGGTGTGAGAGAAGTTAGGAAGATCAAAGGTGGCCCAAGGTCATCTGTGAGACAAGCGGAGATGTCCAGAGGACTTGGGATGTGGAGTTGGAGTCTAGCCCGTTGCTGATTGGAAGCTGGGAGTGTGTCAATAGAGGGTAAAGCACCCCAGTGAGCCTTCATTGTCCTCTCCCCTGCACCAGAGCCACATCAAGAAGAGACTTTTCATGTTCCGGTTTGGGGATCGCAGGACACGCATGAACTGGGTCCACGTGCAGAATCTGGTGCAGGCGCACATGCTGGCCGCTGAGGCTCTCACCATGGCTAAGGGCTATGTGGCTGTGAGTGTCCTCTGACATCCCTGCCCCCACCTCTACTCCCCCCCACCCCTGCATGCTGCAAGCAAGGAGAATCAGACCTCAGGAGTCCCAGGGTCACTGGGTTGGGTAGAAGCTTCCGTGAGCATAATTAGCTCTTCACAGTGACCCGGTGACAACACAGCTTCAAACGGAAGTGTGTCACACTCGTCACAATAGTTCTCCTCTTGCTGAAGAAACTGAAGTACAATGAGGTTAAATGAGTCCATCAGTCACACAGCTTGTCAGTGTGGTGACCCCGTTACCAAACTTGGGTCCACAATCTGTACCCCAAGAATCCAAGTTCAATCACTCCTTTAGGAGTCAATTAAATTGGGAGGAGGGGTGGAAGTGGAAATTTTTATAAATTAATAAAAAAAATCAAAAAAAAAAGAAGTCCAATTAAAAGAGTCAAATTAGGGGCTGGAGAGATGGCTCAGAGCTTAAGAGCATTGCCTGCTCTTCCAAAGGTCCAGAGTTCAATTCCCAGCAACCACATGGTGACATCTGTAATGAGGTCTGGTGCCCTCTTCTGGCCTGCAAGCATACACCAGACAGACTACTGTATACATAATAAGTAAATAAATAAATATAAAAAAAATAGAGTCAAATTAGGCCGGGCAATGGTGGAGTCTGCCTTTAATCCCAGCGCTCAGGCAGAGGCAGGTGGATCTCTGTGAGTTCGAGGCCAGCCCACTCTACAGAACAAGTTCCGGGACCAGGCCATGTAGAGAAACCCTGTCTCGAAAAACAAACAAACAAAAGTCAAATTAATAGTAAAAATAAAAAGAAGGACAAAAGAACCCAGTCTTTCTTGGAATCCTAAAGTGAGATTAAACTTTAATAGAGTTCTGGTCAAGGAAGGTATGGTCCTGTCCACCACCGATTCATTCCCAAGCCGTCTTGGCTCTCGTCCTGTAAACTGTGGAGATAAGTGCCCCTATGGCTGCAGCCCTTTGGTTTTTCCAGCGTGAGATTCCTGTAGAAATCCCCGTTTTTCCGGGGGTCCGTTGTTTCAGTAGTCTGCTGGTCAGATTGACAGACACCTGGCCCAGTGTCAGCATCTCTCTAGAGGATCGTCATTTCTGCCACACCAGTCACAGCCCTTACTAAGGTGTACCTAGGTGTCCCCAGAACTGCTCAAGAGAACAAGAGACCTGCAGCAACAGCTGGGAGTCAGGAGTCAGGCTGCGGGCAGACATCTGACTGCACCCTTCTCTCCTGTCTCCCTCAGAGCGGGCAGGCATACTACATCAACGACGGGGAGAGCGTCAACCTCTTTGAGTGGATGGCCCCACTGGTGAGTGTTCTGGTCCCCTAGCCCAGAGCGAGTCTCTAAAATCCCCTCTGTCCTTGCTTCCTTTCCTACCACCAAACCCCATCTCTGAAAACTGTGTCCTCTCTCAACAACCTACAGTCTCCTTAGGACCAGGCCTATGTGTAAGTGAGCACAGAACCCAGGTCTAATGGCAGAGGGGCTATCTTGTACCGCTGTGCCAATGGCAGTTCCGGTTTGTTCCCCTTAAAGAACACTGCCAGGGGCTGGAGAGACAGCTCAAGTGACTGTGAGCACCGGCTGCCCTTCCAGAGGACCTGGGTTCAAGTCCCGGCACCCACACGGCAGCTCACAACTGTCTGTAACTTCAGTTCCAGAGGATCTGATGCACTCTTCCGGGATACAGAAGCACCAGTCGTACATACAAGCAAAACACTCATATGTGTAAAAAAAAAAAAATTAAGTTTCTAAATTAAAAGGCACGTTTATTGAGATGTAACTTACAAGCTATGCAGCTCACTCTATAGAAAGGATACAATTCAATATGGTTTTCCTTTTTACATCATATTCAGAGTTATACAACCGTCACTATAATGAACTTTAAAGCAGGTCTTTGTCTTCAAATAAGCAAAACAAACCTGTGCCTGTTAGTAACTTGACCTTGTGTACCCCACCCCACCTCTATCCCAGCCCCCCCCACCCCAGACAACCAGGAATCTCCCTCTGCCGTCATCTGTCCCTCTTGACAATTTTATATGAATGAACTCATAGGATAAGTGGCCTTTTGTGTCTGGCTTCTTCCCCACTTAGTTCTCAAGGTTGATCTGTGTTGTGGCATGTATCAGGTCAAAACTTCGTTCCTCTTGTTCCCTTTAATGTATATGTGTATGTGCACACCAGTGTATACGAGTGCACATGTATGTGAGTACACAGGCTTGTGGAAGTCAGAGGACAACCCTGGATGCTGTCCCTCAAGCGCTGTTTACCTGTCTTTTGAGACAGGTCTCTCACTATCTAGAGCTCACCACGTAGACTAGGCTGACTGGCCAGCGAGCCCCGCTGCTGGGATTACATTATTGTGTGCTTGCATGGAGTCTCTGGCTAACTGGCTACTCCAGGTTTAACTTTCAATTGAAGAACTGCCGGATTGTTTTCCAGGGATGTGGGATTCCTGTCTCCCCAGCAGTGGGGGAGTGCTCCAGCCTGAGCCTTTGTTGGTGTGGCTTTGGTCTGAAGAGGTTTTACGCAGGTGGGCAGGTCCACTCATCCCCTGCCAGCCTGTTTCTTCCTGAGTTTCCTTCTGCCTTCCATCCACTCGCTGGGTTCTATCTATTTTTCTTTAATAATGCAGTCAATTCCAGAAGAAAAACGAATCAAATTCGGGGCTGGAGAGACGGCTCAACGGTTAAAAGCACTGATTGTTCTTCCAAAGGACCTGGGTTCAATTCCCAGCATCCACATATTAGCTCACAACTGTCTGTAACTCCAGTTTCAGGGGACCCGACACCCTCACACAGACATACAGGCAGGCAAACACCAATGCACATAAAAATAAATAAATTATTTTAAAATATCAGATTCTACTTAAGGACTTGGGACCATGTTCAGGTAGGGGTGGATATAGTAAAAATTAAATGATGTGAAATAGTCTAAGTTTAAAAAAAAAAAAAACCTGCCCTAGAGGCTGGCAAGAGATGGTTTTGCAAGTAAGCTTGACAGCCTGAGTTTGATCCCAGGACCCACATGGTGAAAGAAAAAAACTGATTGTAGCAAGCTGTCCTCTGACCTCCAAAACACACACACTCCCACGCATGTACGCACACGCACACGCGCACGCACACACACACACACATGCTCACACGCACGCATGCACACATGTGCATGCACACACATGCAGGAAAAAAAAGATTTGCCTTATGTTTTCAACTACTTGAGTGATCCCGACCAAAGAGTGGATCTCACTTCAAGACTGGTGTGCAAAATGCTTATCACCATCATGCCAGGCAGAGTATGAATACCTTTGATTCCAGCACCCAGGAGATAGAGGCAGGCAGATCTCTGTGATCTGAGGCCAGCCTGGTCTATAGGGAGAGAGACCCTGTCTCAAAAAATAAGACTGGTGTGGGCTTGGGGGGTCTGTCTGTGCTGGTGGGGTCCTCTGCCAGCCAGGATCTGGGATTTCCTCACTAGCCAGTCCCTGCACAACCCATTCTCACCTCAGACCATGTTCCCTTGCAGTTTGAGAAGCTGGGGTACAGTCAGCCCTGGATCCAGGTACCAACTTTCTGCGTTTATCTGGCAGGTAAGGGACAGCATGGTGTGTCGGGTACACACACAACATGTGTGTTTTACATTATCGGAAACCCAGGGCTGGGACTATGATGAGGCCAGGAGGCACACAGTGGGTGAGGGTAATGGAATTCAATAGGTTGTATAAGTGTACCCAGCCTGACCCAGCACTCAGGGGAGCAAGTGTTCTATCTGCTCCCTATTGGCCCGCCTGCAAGGCTGGTAGGATTGTAACTAATGGAGAGGAAGAGGCTGAGGTTCTGAGACCCGCTTGAAGTAGTGCGGAGAGCGGGGAGAAGCAACTTTGACAATGAGTCCTGTGCTGGAAGGCGTGATGCCTGGCCAGGCAGAGGGAGCCCTGAGGCTCCCCTTCTCCCAAGGTCACGCTGATGGCAGGGCTTCTTGGGGTGTATGGAGACTTGGACCTTGGATTCTCCCCTTTCCCCTGAAGGTCAGTATCTGCTCCCATTCCCTGGTCCCACCCCACCAAGACAGTGTGTCCTGCTGCTGCCCTCTGCTGGCCCCCTTCCAGCAAGAATGCAAGTAGGCATGAGGCTTGGGGTGAGCCAGCCAAGGGAACAGGTGGCCCCCAAATCACAGAGGGCTGCGCTCCTGCCACATCAGAGGCTGGCCCTGCTCTTTTAAATGCATTGGGAGTGTTTGCTATTGAAATCAAAGACTTGCAAACTCCTGACCCAGGTGAGTGACTCCTGCACAGCACTGTCAGCACTGATTGACAGGCCTTACCTGTGGCCCAGGGGATGGCAGTTTGGGAGGACTGTATACAAACATGCAGTTCTCTGTAAACTGGCTGCAGCTTGGTGTGTCTTCACACCGGCTGCACACTAGAACCACCCACACATGTCAAACTCGCCAATTCTCAGCCACACCTCAAAGAAATGATGTCAGAAGGAGTAACGGGGACGCAGCAGTGTCTCTTAGGGTGAGAAGCAACTCCGCCCTCCCCTCCCCAAGTCAGTATATCAAAGGAGGAGAACAGGGCAGTGGTGGTGCATGTCTTTAATCCCAGCACTCGGGAGGCAGAGACAGGTGGATCCCTGTGAGTTCGAGGCCAGCCTGGTCTACAAAAGCTAGTTCCAGGACAGGATCCAAAGCTACAGAGAAACCCGGTCTCAAAAAAAAAAAAAAATTGGGGCTGGAGAGATGGCTCAGAGGTTAAGAGCATTGTCTGCTCTTCTAAAGGTCCTGAGTTCAATTCCCAGCAACCACATGGTGGCTCACAACCATCTGTAATGAGGTCTGGTGCCCTCTTCTGGCCTGCAGGCAGACACACAGACAGAATATTGTATACATAATAAATAAATAAATTTTTTAAAAAAATCCAAAATAGGAGAGAGATGCCAGGTGGTGGTGACACGCACCCTTTATCCCAGCACTCGGGAGGCAGAGGCAAGCGGATCTCTGTGAATTTAAGACCAGCCAGTCTACAGAGCTAGTTCCAGAACACCCGTGACTACAACAAAGAAATATTAGGAGAGAGAGGCAGGTGTGGTGGCACACCTGTGATTCCAGCATGTGGGACGCTGAGACAGGAGGATCATGAGTTCAAGGCCAGCTTGAGCTTCGTAGAGAGTGCTATGCCAGTCTGGTCTACATATAAGATCTGCCTCAAAAGAGAGGCTTGAAGACCAGCAAGATGGTTCAGTGGGTAAAGGCGCTACCACTAAGCCTGACACCCCCGCCCCAAGTCCAATCCTTGAGACCCACATGGTAGAAGGGAAGACTCAGCCCCAAGTGTCCTGCAACTTCCACACATGCACCAACCCATATAAACACACACACACACAAAGTACGTAAATGAAACATAATTTAAAAGAGGTTGCAAGAATAAAACCACCTTCGCGTCTTCTCAGATTCATTTGTACTCTTTGGTCCTTCAGTATTACTCGGTGTCAACTTATTGTGACAGGCCCTCAAGCAAGGGCTGCTGACCTAAAAGAATCCAGTGGCCTCTGTAAAGGGATCCCCTAGCAAAGCAAACAGTGCCCCCAGCAGCACTGGGGGTCCTGAGAGTCCCTCTCTCCTGACCTCTCCACAGCTGCAGTGATGGAGTACCTGCACCTGGCCCTGAGGCCCATCTGCATCATCCCCCCACTACTTACCCGCAGTGAGGTAAGTGTCCGGGAGCCCCAACCCTGAACCTTCCCCCTCCCCTCCACATAGCCACTGCTGCAGGACACCTCTGGACAGGATACTTCTCTGAGGTCTCAGAACCTTCCACGCAGGCCAGAGCTACAGCCTGTCCCTTTACAATGCTCCCTACCAAGTAAGATTTTGTGTTGTAGGCTGGAAGCTGGACCACTCCAAGCAAACTTCATAGCTGTTATTCCAGTCAGAGGTGGTTTATTTTCTATCCAGGTCTGAGGTTCCCAAAGGCAGGCTCCATAGCAGGCAATTTTTTGAGCCCCAACTCTGAATAGACACATGTGCACGTTCACAAAATCCCCAGCGGCTCTAGGTGTGTCATTCACGCTTACTTAACAGTAAGTATGTATTGTCTTCTACGTACAGAACATTAATACTGTTCCCAAAGTTATGATGCGTAGTTGATTGGGGTGGTGTGTGTGTTTGAGACAGGATCTCACTATGTAGTTCTGGCTGTCCTGGAACTCACTATGTAGAGCAAGCTGGCCTCGAACTCACAGAGCTCCCCTTGCCTCTGCCTCCTTAGTGCTGGGATGGAATGTATGCACCATCACACCCAGCCGATGCGTAGTTTTACATTTGCTTAGCACGTACCATTCGAAAAGAGGCTGGAGAGATGGCTCATCGGTTTGGAGCACTCATTGCTCTTCAGAGGACCCAAGTTTGATTTCCATCCTCCACATGCTGGCTCACAACCACCCATAGCTCCAGCCCAAGGGATCTGACACCCTCTTCTGGCATGCAAACAAGGCATTAACACATATAAAATAAACAAATATTAAAAGCTCTTTTCAAAGAGGATGTCTTAAGTAGACTGTAACCAGACAGTAGGTGGTATTTAGGGGCTCTCTCATCTGACTGTGCCTAGTGCTACATTAGGAAGGGCACAGAGATGAGGTTCTCCGCTTTGTTTTGAGAAACTGGGCACTAGAGAACCCAGTGGCCTATCCAAGATCACACCACATTGGAACTGACCCTGGGATTTCAAGTGCTCGTCAAGCTGAAAGGAAGTGGGAGGGTGGGGAATGTTCCGCAGAAGCCGCTGCCTACCATTGTTCCTTTGAGCACCCAGATTGATGGAGGATAATGACAGTCCTCTAGGAGCATTTGATAGTCCCTGCTGCTGAAAATTATTGCCCTGCCCACGAAAAGAGAAGAAAATTAGATCCATAGTGAAGTTGCCTACCCAGGATCACTCACTCACAAGGCACTGATGGGATGCGAACCCTGACCTAAAGCTCCACCACCAACTTGGAAAACATATTGGGAAAGAAAGGGCACAGCCGCTGCCAGGAGTGCTGCAGGCCACCCTTCCTCTTGTTGGCTCCAGGGCGTAGCATCGCCCTCTGCTGGTCAGTCTGGGAGACAGTCTGGGAGACACCAGTTAGCGCGCTAGGTTTTTTGTTGGTTTTTTTTTAAAAAAAAAAAAAAAAAAAAAAAAAAAAAAAACACTTCTCTGGCTTTTTTTTTTTTTTTTTTTTTTTTTTTTGAGACAGGGTTTCTCTGTAGCTTTGGAGCCTGTCCTGGAACTAGCTCTTGTAGACCAGGCTGGCCTCGAACTCACAAAGATCCACCTGCTTCTGCCTCCGGAGTGCTGGGATTAAAGGCGTGCGCCGCCACCACCACCCGGCAGTTCTCTAGCTTTTAAGGAAGATGTTTCAGAAACCGGGCAACTCAACAAGGTGATGAGAGCGGAGGACTTTCCCAGCATGCAGGAGAGGCACCATAACCCTGAGGTCACTGTTAAGCCTGACCTCTGAGAACACTGTGCCAGAACCTGCTTGTGTAGCTCAACGGCTATGTCTCTCTGCAAGGGGCTGGTTCCAGGATATTTACTAACCTGCACTCCTCCCAGCCCTGAAGGTTCTATCTGGGGCAAGAAGTGGTCCCTCCGCTTCCCTCACTGGGGTCTCTGAGACAGTGCTTGACTCCAAGGGCCTGTCTGTGCCATGTGAGAACCACATAGCCATTGTCCAGCTGGAGAAGAATAAAAAGCCAGGTGGGAGGGCATCTCCAGACCCCAGTGAGACAAAGAATATGGCCTAGGAAGTGGCTCTTCTCTGTGGCCCTATGCAAGTCACTTAACCTCTGGTCTTCAATTTCCAATTTATGCAAAGAGGAAATAGTGCCATCGCAGAGGACAAAAGTATATAAAGGGCCTACACCAAGCATACAGTGGGAGTTCTATAATCGATAGCTGTCATTTATTATCCTAGAAGCAGGCCAACTGGAGGCAGGGGAAATGCAGCCTCAGATGTGGAGAGGAATCACTGTGCTGTGCGTAACTGAATTCCTCTATTAGGGACACTTAATTAAGCAGCTAGGAGGGCTGGAAGGCTGCTCTGGAGGCCCTGCCGGCTACAATTGGTATTGGGCCAGCAACAGGAAGCCAACATCCTTCCTTGGAGTGTTCTGGAGAGCCGCACTCTACTGCAGGCAGGAGGCCTTAGGCCTCTCCTGGTTCAAGAATGCATCTAAGACCTCCAGAGGTTCAGAACGGCGCTAGGCTGGAAAGAGAAGCAGAGACGGGTATTAAACTGGATGAGAATTTAGCAGGGCTGAAGGATGAGATGCAGAAAAGGCATCCAGGAGGCGGCGCCCTCCAGGAAAAAGATCTTAGAAAGGATGGTCGTCCCCACCCCGCCCCAGGAAGGCATCTCAGGCACAAGACGCAGCGACCAGTCTTTTTAAATCCCAGTGTTGACCAAGAAACAAGCTGCCCTCCCTTATACATTTGGTCCACAAGACACAGGGTGTTCTCCTCCCCCCGCCCCACCCCACTAGCCCGGCCTTCTCGGCTCCGCCTCTCCCACAGGTGCTCAGCGTGGCCGTGACGCACACCTTCCAGATTGCCAAGGCCCGCGCTCAGCTTGGCTACGCTCCGGACAAGTTCAGCTTCGCCGACGCAGTGGAGCGATATGTGCAGGCCACGACCCCGCAACGCCGTGGCTTCACCATGCTGACGCTCCTGAGGCTGCTGCTCCTGCTGCTGTTACTGCTCAGCCTGCTAGGCCTTGCCCTGCACTTCCTAGGGCTGCAGCCTTTGCAAGGTGCAGTGCAGCTCCTCTGACCCCGCCCCTAATCCCGGGCTCTCTGAGTTTATACCTGGCTTTGAACTCCTGATTCAGACACGCCCCTGATTCTTGACCCCGCCCCTTTATCTGGCCACGCCCTGCCCCCATCTTGTTTTCAGGCTTGTATTCGTCCTCCACTCACTTTCTTTACCCCGCCCCCTGAGTCTCAGCCACATTTCCTCGCCCTTGGCTTCCTTACTCAGCGTTTTACACTTCTCCGAGGCCGGGTGAGGCGGTTAATGAGGTCCCAGCCTCCCAGCTAGCTTCTCCTTCCCAGTCATTTCCAGACTCCTAACAAATCCAGCCCTCTCCTCCCTATTCCTCCCCGTTTTTTCTGCTCTGGTTTCGCCCTTCCTGCCTCCACCTGTCCGCTGAAGTTCCAGCATGCTTGCTTATTTAGGGACAGGTCCTCTTGCTCGGTCCCCTTCCAGCCCCGCCTGCGCCATTGGTCTAAGTGAATGAGTTCTGGCTGGTGGAATCTGGAATTGGACCAGTCTTCTGCTGCTTCTGGGAACAGTGGGGCCACCTCCCTGCTATGGCTTTTCTGAGTTTGCCCAATCTTGACATAGATCTGTGTGTTGATTAGCAGGGGAAGGATACCCAGCCCAACTTGGTATCTTTGGGTTCTCAGTTAACTCAGCACAGTAAAAAGTTTTTGTACCAGAAGGGGCAAGGAAAAAAAAAAAAACTTTGCAAAAGAAAATTGAATGTCTCATAAAAGTACTAATTTAATAGACAAAATAAATTGTCTAATTTAATAGACAAAAAAAATACTGATCGTATTTTATGATTTAGTTTGTGTGTACTTGTGTGTGGAATCAGAGGATGCCGTTCCTTATTTTTGCAGACAGCATCTCTCTCACTGGTTTGGAGCTTGGAGTGGCGAGGCTGGTCAGGAAACCCTAGGGATCCACCCTGTCTCTTCTTTCCACCACACCCCGCCTTTTATGTGGGTGCAGGAAGTCGAATTCAGGTCCCCATCCTTTGTGGCAAACACTTTACTCACTGAGCCATCTCCCCAGCCTCCATATTCTATTATTTAATATCTTTTGTGTTTTTCCTCCCTTTAAAAATTTATTAATTACATTTCTTTTCATTTATCTTGCATCCAGACAGCAGTTTCCCCGCCCTCCTCTCGTTCCTTTCCCCCTGGCCTTCCCTCTGCCCCTCCTCCCCCCATCACTCCTCTGTCTCTGTTCAAAACAGGGCTGGCCTCCAATGGGCTCCAACAAAGCCGGGCACTTCAAGTTGAGGCTAGCCCAAGCTCCTCCCCCTGCATCAAGGCTGGATGAGGCAAGCAGGCATGAGGAATAGGTTCCCAATCATTTGTGTTTCTTGATGGGTAGTGAGGCTCATCTTGATGAGTTTAAGGCCACCGTCCTGCTCTCCACAGAAACTGCACCTCCCTGCCACAGTGCTGTGGATCCCAGAAGAGCATGGGTAAACGATCCATGTCTGTCTGTCCCCTGGTGCACACGTGGCATTAGCTGGGCACATACTATGAACCATAGCAGGGAGCAAAGTAACCGTAGTGGACGGAGGAGGAGGGTACTAGTCCCTCACAGCGCGTGTCCCCGTCTGGTAAATAAGGAAGACAATGTAAGAGTTCTAAAATATGCGAGGCAACATTTTATGTGTGTGCATAATTGTATTTAATCACCAGTAGTCAGGCCATGGTGGCCCACGTCTTTAGTCCCAGCCCTCACGAGGCAGAACTCTGTGAGTTCGAGGCCAGCCTGGTCTACAGAGCTAGTCCCAGGACAGCTAGGACTGTTACACAGAGACCCCCTGTCTCAACCACTAC